CTGAAGTTTAAAGGAGGATTGTTTAAAAGCATGGCACTTTTGGTTTGGGGGGAATCAAAAATTCAAGTAGAAGCTAACAAAGAATAAGCAAAGAAAAATTTCCGAAGCTGTGAAACCTTGCTACTTAAGATAATGACAGAAGTTTACAACTGCTTCCTTTCCTGGCAAAGGGAGCACAGCTGGAAGGCTGGAAACAGCAGGCCCTCTGTACCAGCATGCTATGTTTTGCTTGTTCTATTACACGTGGGCTGGGAGATAAGCATTAACAGGACAACACCCTGTCTAACCCCAGGAGGAGGGGGTGGAGGGAAAGGCTGGTTACGTTCATTCTTGGGCATGTATGTGCACACCGTTTATTTGCAACTTAGGTACTTAAGAAAATTGTGCATGCAACAGTCAGGAACTAGTAGGAGCGTTCAGAAGTCTTTTATTACACAACCCAATCCAAGAACAAGCTTTGCGTAAGCTTTGTGAAGGGCAATGAGAATACTTAAAAAATTATTTCTCTAAACTCCGTATCAATACCATTCTGTTCATTTTATCAATACTAATTATCAAATTATCAATACTGTTTTTTTGCTCATTTGTTCACTCTTCGTTTTTTTAATTCAATGTTGCAATATATTTCTATCACGCAAATATTGTCTCCCAGGTAGTATTTAAGATGCAGAGCCTTCACGAGAGTGACAAGGAAGATGGGGTTAAAAAAAAGGAAAAAAACTTAAAAACTAGGATGAGCAAATTTACAGACCAGCTTCCCTCCCTGTGACCGACTGTGCCAAAAAAGTTTGCAAAGAATCAGCAGCCACAGGGGAAGAAAACATGTGATCTATCTTCTCCACAAAGGGAGAGCTGCCAGGTGCCCTGATAGTTCCAGTAAATGGAGAATCCTGGTCAATGATAGCAGCTGCTAAGCCAATTGGGTTCATCAGATGGTCTCAAGAAAACCAAGACAAAACTGGACCTCTCTTGTGGCTCTCTCCCACAACTCCTCACTACCTGGAATGATCAGTCCTGAGTCAAGCTCTGCCAGTTCATACTTTCTGCTCTTCCTCACATGGGTGTGTCTGTGCTCTGAATGACCTAAGTCTACCCTAAGGATGCCACCTATTCCCCTACTTTGTCACTTAATGGCTTTATTTTCTTCATAGCAAACATCTTAATTATTCTTTTTCATGTGTGCCATTTTTCTCCCCTGACTAGGATGGTCATTCCATGAGGACAGAAACCTCACCTTCCTTCTTCACTCACCTTCTTAAATACTACCTGGGAGACAGTATTTGCTTGACAGAAATACATTGCAATATTGCATAAATGAATTAAATAAACCAAAAGTGAACAAATGAGCAAAATGATCTGGCACAGACCAGTCTAAAAGAGGTCAAAGCAGAATTTGTCACCCATCATTAGCCAGGTAAAAATGTTCCCAGGGGACCAGGGGCAAAGCTTCATGTGGACGGTTGAGCTAGAAAGCAGAGCTACATGGTTTTTTGATTCTGCATACTAAAGAGAAAACCACCACTCTGCAATAATTTGCAGGGGGTTCTTAAAATTCAAAAAAAACCAAATGTATTTGGATGTCAGCAAGGTAGTTCTGCCAACCTAATTATGCCTCATGACATGTAATTGCAAACTGCAGAAAGACAAATGGTGAAGTAGAGCATTTATTATAAACACACACAGAGAAGCAAGACTGAGGTGTTAATTTTTAAGCAACTGTCATAAATCTGGTTCCAGGATATTGTTCCATTAACATTATTGCTGCTCTAACAAAGAATGTAAGTGTGACCACGAGTTCCTTTCATGTATTTCTCAATTCTAGGAAATTAAGCTTGCTGCTCCGTCTGTACCTGAGACAGACACCAAGTATGTAAGAGGTCACAATGAAAATGGTAGACCATTAATTATACCAAGGAAGAGAGTTGTCTATCCATGGAAGGCTTGTTTAAGATGCATTCATGTCTTCATACAGGTATCAGAGTACTCAATCCAAGAAACATTCGCTCTCACCTCCTGATACAGCCCTCTCAGACTTCATGGAAGGCAAAACTAAAATGAAACGAAGCCAGAAAGCCTACACATACCAAGTGAAGGTATGGAACAGTCAGTGGTCTTCCTCAGAATCAGAAAAGAATGAAAGCAACTCTGTCCTGGACAGTGATTCAGCAAAGGACTAGAGGTCATCGGCAACAGCTCTTGCGATATTCAAAGGTGGCAAAAGTCATGAAGTACAGGCAGGCACTTCAGTTACTACTACATCTGCAAAGCAGTCCAAACTCTAAAACACTGTTCGTGTATTATTAACCTTCTTTTTTTTTTTTTTGTGGTACTAGGGCTTGAGCTCAGGGCCTTCACCTTGAGGCACTCCATCAGCCATTTTTGTGATGGGTTTTTTTGAGATAGGGACTAACTAACTATTTGCCCAGGCTGGCTTCAAACCATGATCCTCCTGAGTAGCTAGGATTACAGGCATGAACTACTGGCACCCAGCTATTATTTACCTTCTTATAAATCGACCTATCGTTATCATACATTCAAGTTATACAAATGTGTTTTTTTCCTCTATAGAATCAGAAAGGAGAATTTTATACACATAGTTCATATACTTATACAAACTATGATACATAATATTCAACATACTGTGAAATCATTTTGCATATTATTCAAAAATGTTTTTTAAATCTTTACAGGTTAAAAACGATTTGTCCATTTTAGCTCCTGTAGGAATGCTGAGTGTCATTTGCTTAAAAAAAAAAAAAAAAAGAGTACAAAAATGATATGAAACGGTGCTCATTATAAATAAGACCTGGTTGCTAAAGAAGCCCAGAGGTGTGGAACTTACAATCTTTCATGCATGTTTATAAAGCATGGACTCAGGGGAAAAAATCGGTTACTTTAGCGAGGAATCCTTTCACGTGTCAGCATATTACCACTAACAGGACGATGGCAAGTTTTAGGTGGAGGTATTTTTGGATGACTCCTCCTAGCTCTAGAGTGTCTCTTTTCCTGTTTAGGGTACAGAGTTAACCTATAAGACTGTCATTTTGTTCCAGCTTTGCTTGACAGAACCTCAAGCAAATCCTTGACCATAAATAAAGCAGCAGGGCCCCAGTAGCCAGCTGAGTCATAAACCCTATTCAGTTGCAAGTGGCTCAAGGTGTCAGGATCCCAAGAGAGTCAAACCAAGCAAGTGGAATCAATTTAGGTCAGAGTTTGAAAAATCAAGCCCCCGCATCCCCCAACTGCCAGGGGAAGACATCATAATCCCCCTTCCACGGCTCAAATACAGAGACGGTAACGAAGCCCAGGAAAACATCTACACCAGGGCACACTTTAGTTCCAGTCTAAAACGGAAAAAAAAGGTATTTGACAACCAAACACAACTTTTTTTTCTACTGTTCTGAAACATAAGCATAGTCTTGTTGCTGCTAAGTTATCACCATCCCATTTGTGACATCTGTGCCCAGTACAGAGTGAAGTGTGCTTACCTCATTTTCAATACCTCAAAGAGCAGCAAACACACAGTCTACCTGCTTGAGCATGCAAACTTGAAAAGAGCAGCTTTATAGAACGGCCTGTAGGTCACAAATTCTGGTTTGGGCAGACTACCATCAGAAAGGAGCTACAGAAAATAAGGTCCTGTGTATGAAAAAATACTCTGCCTTTGGTTCCCTTGGGCCAGAGGGAACTATTAGCAAATACAATCTGTACACAAATGAGAAACATTTAATGAATAGCCCTTTCTTCACAATAACTCTACTTAAATTAAGTCCAGGAGACTCTTCAAAGGGAGCAAAGAAGCCCCCTTGTTAAGAGAGACTCTGCATACAGGCATCCAAGACAATTACATGACGCATGTAACCAACACATGTAATTACCTCACTTTCTACACTCCCGTTACCTGTATAAATACAGGATGGAAATCGGTCTAAGTGGCTTTCTCAGATCTCCTCAAGGAGTAAGACAAGCCAGCCAGCCTTTAAAACGTGTATGCATGTAGTAAAGATCAAAAGCAAATGTTCTGGTCAGTTCTTTTCTATTCATGGGTTTTACTAAGAATGTGTGCAGTTTTCAGGGAAAATGCCACAAATGACAGCTGTACACAGGCAAGGAGATTAATTGGCAGCAGGAATTTCCTTGACTAATGGGGAAAAACTTGAAGTCACATGTTTTGATGATCTTATTTTTCCCATCCTTCATCAAGCGTATATTTGCAAATAGAAGTATAACCAAGGAAAACCCTGACTCCTTTCTGTTTTTTTCCTCAGTGCAGCACAGCTAGCTATCCGTTACTGAATGAACAATGGCATTAACAAACGGACTTGAGCTGTCAATAATACACAGGCGGAAGGTTCGACTTGCAGGGCTTGATGATCTATAAGAACTAAACCAAGACACAGTAAGAATAAGGGACTTCGAGTATTAAAAAAAATAGTAGCAAAACACGCCCCCACACACGTAGTAAGTCATCTGCTTTTAGCTGTTTTTCTAGCAGTGAGGATAGATTTATACTGATCCGTCCACGGTCTCTCTAACACAGGGCTCTCACGTCATTGCCTTGTGACCACTGGTGAGAATGGATGGGACAGGCTGGTCAGGATTAACCCAGAAGCCTGTGGCCTGGGACCAGGTCATGTTACTGTGCCCAGAGCCTGATGCTGTGGCCCTGGACTCATTAGCCTTATACTCTCATCACCCAAGCTAATAGCCACCACTAATCAGCCATGACCCAACATACATCACAGTGTGTTCTCTATCCCAGCTACAACGTAAGACTTTCATTGTCAGGGTAGTCTGAATTGAGCCCATGACACTCTCCAGCTCATGCCTGATGGAATCTACTTGAAAACTGTCCCTAAAGGCAGCAGTAAGATGTCCAAGAATGAACAAGGCACTTCCATTCTAATCAAGTGACAGCACTGACAGAGCTCAAAAGGAACAAAAAACAATCCAAGCATTTCCAAAGCATGTAGTCCAAATGCCACAACAGAGCAACATACCTGGCCATCCCCAGACTTGGAAAGTTAGCAGGGACGATGAGTATATCCAGCCTGGAGAACGGGTGTGTTCCTAGGACAGAATGAGCGGCAGACAGGCAAGGAGGGAGCAGCCGCACCAGGGTCTCTTGGCAGACACCCCTGAGACACACCGGTGCAAAGACCCGATGAGGAATGAGCTCCTGGGTGGTGGCAGAGGTATTCTGGAAGCGGCAAGGGTATTCCATGTGACCACAAATGCCAACACTCCTGGAAACAGCAAGAACAAAACACATGCACTTAATGGTTAAAAGCATGTTTATTCTTCTTGTGGTGCAGGTGAGGAACTCTTATAGACATGTAAAACTTTTAGGAGACAGTGGTTCAGCCAGGCTCATAAACAAAGACAATTCATTTGAATTTTTGGCTTGCTGTTTCTGGACAGCAGTGAAAAATTACAGGTCAAATACTTATTGATGTGCTTGAATTGGCTGAGTTGCTTCAATTTCAGCTGTGAAAGTCTTGTTTTAGGACAAACCCAAGACTCAAAACAGCAAAAGTACTTCCCACCCAACCTAAAGCAATTTCTGCCCTCAGTAATGTGCCACAAGGAAAAATTTTCTCCAACTAAGGGACAATTCATAACTCAGAAAGGCAGTGACTGCAGCCAAATTAAAGATCCCACTCTGGAATTTCTTAGGATGATAAGACTTAGAATGAGGTAGAACAATGAACCAAATAACAGCTACAGGTATAAACTTTTAAAGGAACACAAACTGTTTTACTGAAAAGTGGTGAGGGTGTTCTTTGTGCAAAGCCCATCAAAGGTGGCTGTGGAAGGATATAGAGGCACTTTTGGTACAGTTTTTTCCTCAATCCACTTTCAATACCAATTTAACCAAGTCAACCTTTTAAGGAAACAGAGCAGAGCTCAGCCAGTGCCATCTGACTGTTGCAGCTATTCCCTGAAAGGCAAAGGCAGAACTAAAAGAGAATTCCTGGAACCTGACTCACAGGCCCCAAGAGAACTTATCTACCCAAAAAAAACCAACATCAAAGAGAACTCCGGTTTTTTCACCTGTTAACATATCCTCTATTCCAACATAATGGAAAGCCCCTCAAACTTTAAATTATAAATTATAATTGTAACTGTAGGTGCTCATGTAATTCACAGTGAACCCTGAAGAACCTTTAGATGCTGGCCTGTCCCCACATGGGCAGGCTGCAACAGTAATTCCTGCTCAAATTTATGAAGTGCCTCCCACCCACTCAAGGCCTGTGCTCAGGAGATGCACACTGCTGTGTAAATAAGCCTTACCCTCCACCTGCTTTAAGGAACACAGTTTCTAGCCCTGAGATGCTTCTTCATGGTTGAGGGTAAGGAGTATGTGTGGAGAGCCATAAAATTACTCTCAGGATAAAGCAATAGGAAGAATATAATTACTGACACTGAACTCTAGCCAAAGTCCCTGGGACCTTACTTTCTGAGGAGAGTGAGCCAAGGTGCCTACTGGTGAACATTCAACTGAAAAGGCCATAATGTTCACCTAATGGCAAGCACTGTCCAGATGACCAACTCAATCAAAGCTCTCATGAATCAAAGCACTCAGACGGAAAGGACCCTCACTGAATAACCCCACACAATACCTTTTTATAAGGTGTTCATACAGCAACATAATTTGTTATAGCAATTTAAGTGCACATACTCTCCATTGCAAAGCTTTTAGAGCATGTTAAATGGAGACACTGGGAGGTGTTGCAGGCAGGCATCTTCTGGGCAATCTGGGACATGAGTTTAAGTTCTGTATATGTAATACAACACTTCAAGGAGGCATTCCATCTAGAAGCTCACAGCCTATTTCCATGGGCAAGACTATTCCTTTAAGCAAGAACAGAAAAGGTAGAATAGATGGAGACAACAATACACCCCAGCCCCCAGGAAAAAGCCTGTTTATTCTAAGGGAAGAGTGAGCGTGCTTCTCTCTGGACAGCTAAGCTCTATGGCACTGGTCTAGCTAAGGGAGAGGATTCCAATTGTGTGAGTCAGCAGTTCCATCATCAAAGCCTAGGAGACTTTGAGGCAATCAAGACATGGACCACTAGACTGATGTTTCCAATGAAACACAAATGTCAGGAGAGAAGTCACTTGTAGATTCCCACATGTGGACCAAGAAAGCTGGGCTTTAGTGGCTATTCTCAGATTGTGACCCGGGGCAAGCAACTCAGTATCTGGGGATCTCTTTTTCCTCATCTCTCTGCAGTCCACCAAAATGGCTGCCAGAGGAGGGAAGGAATTGATTGGAAGGGCGTTTGAGGGAACTTCCTGGGGTGACAGAATGTTCTCTATCTGGTTTAGGGTGTACACGATGGTCAGAAACTTCTCAAGCAAGACACTTAAGATATGCACATTATGTATGCACACCAGTTAAAAACAAGTAAATAAAAAACTAAAATGGTCCCTCAGGTTTCTTCTTGCATGGACTCTACCACACTGGCCACATGAACTCATTTTCATGCAATTACTAATGTGCACAGTCATCAACAGTCTTCTTTCCACAGACCCGGTGTCAACTCAGAGATGCCCTCTCTTCCCTTTATGGCAATTTTTCCTGGTCCTTACAACTCCAACGATGGCCTCTTTCCCTGACTCTCCTCCTTTCTACAATGAATAACCTCAAAGCCTTTCTTCTTCTTCCCAATGCCCATTTTCCATGCCTTTAGTCATGTTTGCTGAGCTCCTGTGGGCTCTGTCCAAGCTTCTGTGCCGTGCTCAAGCTGTATGGCCCAGGATTCCCCTGTGGTTGGAGCTGAATAAAATTAATAAGCTTTGGACAATTTAGCTAAGTGACTCGTAGCTAACGCATTTACTAAAATGCTCACCCAGAGTGGGCTAGAGCATGTGCAGCTGGAACAGGGAATGTCTTCCTATAATCTAGTTCACATGAACACTAAGAAAAGTTCACTGACCAATCCTTTGCCCAAATTTCCAGAACCCAGATGAACACTTTAGGCAAATGAAAGCCTGTGGCATACAAGGTCTTATAAAAGTTAGATTTACATGAATTGAATTGGTGGTCTCAGGGAGGTTTGAAGTAGAAAGGGGCTGGGAAGGCAAGGGGAACCAGATGTGAACATAACCAGACACACCGCTGCAACTGGCACTTCAGAGAACCTCTGCTGGCAAACCTAGCATGGAATCAGAGATCTTGTGGATAAAAACATAAAGCCACTTTCTGACGACTAGAGACAGCACACACAGAGAGCACGAAGCCAGGACAGGATTAAGCTATTATTTAATCAGCAGCACATTTCTGATGGACGAGCATGCTGATAAATGAAGGGAAACTAAGTGCTATGATCAGATGTGGAAGGGTGTGTGGGAGGAGCCATTCTGCCTGCAGGCTCTCCCTGGAGAGGCAAACGTGACCTTTCTCCAGCTTCTCAGAATGGCTGGGCCACTATGGACTTGTCTCCTTTGAACGTACTAGTCCTAGACCTTTTGGGCCTGCTCTGTGTCCTGCATTAGACAGGCTGACACAGGCTGTGTTGTGGAGGCAGGCAGGGGCCAAGCAGCTTAGCTAGGTTGGTGAATGGGTGGGAATGTTGCCTCATGTGGAAAAGGAGCATTAGAAAGCTCATTCAGACCATGCACCTGAGCTTCCCTTTGGTCCACTTTGTGTCAGTGATCAAAACTTTACTTTGATTTCCTTCTGTCTGTTCCTCCACAGGTTCTGAATACAGGAAGACAAGTGAGGAATAGTGTTTACCCCTTCCCCAAAGCCCCAACAGGAACACCAGGCAGATTTCTTCTCAGAACTCCCCAGATGACTTGGCTATGCCCACCTCCATTCACAATACTGGATACAGAGCAAATGAGAAGACAAAGGAAGTGCTGCTGCCTGGTCCTCCATCCCATTCTCTTGGGAACATGGTGAAACAATTTTCACCATGCGTTCATAAGGCACACATTTTTCAGCAACACATCTCTTTAACAATCAATGAGCACCAAAGCCTTAGGTAAAGAACAGAGTACTTCTTTACCATGAACAATCTGTTAAGTCTTCATTTTACAAAAAAGAGGAAAGTATGGCTTTGCCCAAAGAGCCATATCCAACCGGTAAGGATGGTACACTTAGGCTCAAAGGCTCTCAACTTGTTTTTTGATGAGCCACTCCACTGGCTCCACTGTGACAATGACTACAATGATTCTCTAGGTGGGAAGGTAGCTCAGATTCCACTTTCTGAGGTAACTCAGATGTTAGGTTTCATTTTTAAAAGTCTCCAGGTAAGATTCTAAGCCACCTCTCTAAGAGTTTGGACCTGGAATGAATACAGGCACTGTTATTCAGCAGGTAAAAGAATATTAACTTGTTAATTCTTAACTTGGTTTTCAAGGGTGAAACTATCTTGTACCCTTGCTCTGGACTCTATCCACCAGAAGGTAATGTTTTAGCAATTTTCTGTAGAAGGAAAATGATTCAATTGGGACAGGTGTAGAAGTCCTAGGACATGAAGCACAATTTACATTTCTCTGCCCCTTCCATGCAGCCTCTCTCTCTCTTTTGGTTCTCAAAGTTAGAAACAGGAACATTTGGGGAGGCTTCAAGTTAATGTCCAGTAGTCTATACTAATTTTTAAGAACCTCAAACTGGTTTCTCTGATTCATTCCAAAAAAGAAAAAAAAGAATCATTATTGAAGCTAACAAGGCCTTGACCCAGCAGGATCCCATTAATGCAACAGCCTTGTGACATGACAGCATCTTGAATCCTGTGCTCCTAAAGAGGCCAACAGGCTGCACTGGGGGAGGCTGTCCCTTCCATGCACTGTGACTAACAGCCGTCACAGTCACCAAAACAGCACTGTGGCCTACAAAGTGACCCATCAGACAAGCCATTTTTACTAAGCTATGTTTTCTATCAGATAAGCATCAAAACCAAAATTAAAAGGTACAGGAGCCAGGAAAGTGTTGAATGTGAGGATTCTTTGAATTTAACCAAACACATAAAAACACTTCACCTGACTTCAAAGAGAGTTTCATGTATACTTATTTTCTTCTCTCTCTTCATAAACAACATGACCGCATCTCTGCCTCTCACTCTCTTTCCTTCCCAGTGGGTCTCTTCCTGCTTTGATTAATCCTATTTTGGTTTAGTTTCTCAGCAGGGATGAGTCACATTCCCAGAGCTTGGAAGAAATGTATCATACTGCTCTCTCAAGTGTTTCTCAGAAAGTCCCCAAAGACAAACCTGGAGTCAGTTGCGGAAGGTGGGAGGGGTCCTGCTGTTGCCAGGTCATTTGATGAGCAGGTCTCAGGCTTTATTTCTGTCCAGCATCCCACTGCAACTGTGAAGGTGGAGGCTGGCATGGGCATGGTCACATAGTAATGCCAGCTTAAGCAGCCTATAAAGAGAAGAACTGTCATGAGGCCAGTGTATGGTTGTGGATCTTACTCTATTTTTCCTTGTGAGACACTTGAAGACCTCTTGTGATAAAGTAAGAGCCTGTTCTTGGAGGTGGGTCACATCAGCTGAAGAGGTGTGATCCCAGGTCTTGGGGAAAGCACAAGAGGGATGGTTGTTTCAAGGCAGCCAAAGAGGTTTAGGTCTCTTCCAACCATCAGTGTGAAGCCCTCAGGGAGGCTAAATATCAAGGAAGGTGGATGAGGTGGTCACTCAACAGCTGCAAGCACAGAAGGGCACAGGCTGTATGGTCCCAAGTCTGTGTCTTATTCATCCTTATTGCCTAGCATAGTATTTGGCACAAAAAAAGGAAGCACAATTGATAGTTGATGAATCAATGAATGAGCCATTTTGTCTAAACCCAATTCAAATTAATCTAAAATGAATTATGCAAGAGAAGCTCCTGGGTTTTGGTCCCAACTCTGAACCTAATTGTTGTACAAGTTGAAGTTTTACCACCCTCCCCCCAATCCTTTTAATCCACATAGCTGGTCTCCCACTCCTTGCTGAGCAAGGATAGAAAGCCCAAGAGCCTAGGACTCCCCAGTAGTTTGAGACAGGGCTTGGATTACAGCTGGAGCGCCCCACCCCAGATAAGAATGCACTCTTCACTCTCTTCACTTGTTTTGTTTTTAATCAAAGAAACAAATGATTGATAACTCTTAAGGCTGTACTTTTTTCACTTCTAAGAAAAGGGAAAATAATTCTAATGTCTCTGAAATCTGGAAGTATCTGCTGTAAATCGATGGTGCTTACTTAAGATAGCTACCACCTTATATTATGAAACACGTCTCTGCATTCCTTGTGCTCCCACAGGGAGGAACTTCAATTAGAGTAACACTTCTGTTTTAGCCCACTTACAACAGCTATTATTCTCCTTCTTGCTTTAATTTTTAGAGGATTAAACACCCAAGACTTGTGGTTGTCCAATCTGGTGAGTGAGTGGATTAGATGTGAAATGCAGGGTTGAAATATTAACATGCTCACATTGGTCAGTATGTGATATTTTTCAAAGTGTCTCAACACTAAAAATCAATAATAAAGTTGGACTGATCTCCTTATGCTTGACCGTTCTATCAACTAATCCTGAACTCAGAAGGGATATTTATTACCCTCTCAAATTCTACCAACTTAGATTCAAAGAAATATGTTCTTGAGGTCTTCTAGCAAACAATACAATTTGAAATAGGGAAAAAAAAGACTTAAGAGAAGAAAGGTATGGATTTTGGCAAAATTCAAGTGTGGAAGTCACTGGAGGAGAAACTTGAAGAACTGCTCAGAACCCAGCACAGAGGCAGCCATTCTCAAACTTTCTTTGGGAATCAGGGTGAGCACTCTTGAGATGTCTCTCTGTATCTGTCCAAGAAGTTGAAGGTATGCGCCTTTGTAAGAAGACAATGAAGTCCAGTGATATATATAGCTTCTGCTGGGCTTGTGGGGAATCGCAGTAGAACAGAGAATCATTGCCTTGGTCCCATGCCAGTTAGAAGAGTGTAGGGATAGTCACAGGAGTCCTGAAGAATGCAATGCATGGATCTGACACGGCAGGCTATACCACACCCACCTCCTCCCTCACTTTCCTCTCTTCCCATAACTGCCTCATTCTTCTGCCTCTTGTGTATGCTCCATGAAGAACTCCAGTTTGTAAAAGACAATACAAGGACAGCCAGGGTGGGTGGGCGGGTGGGTAGCAGGGTGGCGGCAGAAGAAGAGGGCCAAAAGTTTCTGAAGGGCCCAAATAACTGACTTTTCTAATGCAAGGGCAGTGGTAATTCTTTCTCTAAAGTACATCTTTGAGCATTTGCTGTGGACAATTGGACTTGACTTTAAACAAATGCAGACCCTGTGGGGTGGAGTAAATAAGCAGTAATGACGAGACTCCCAGGTAAAAGGAACACTTGAATGTACGAGGCCACTTTTGCTTCCTCCTCAAACCCCATCAAAACCACTTTTTAAAGCTATAAACCGACAAGAACAGAAAGAACAAAACAAGAGACAACGGCTACAAAATAGTGAAGCTGAATGGAGATGGAAGAGCAGCAAATGACAACAGACTACATCCCAAGCTAGCAGTGGAGAAGGGTAAAACCCACCTTGCTTTCAACTCTAGGAAGTGCTGAGCTAAGCAGGCCCGGTTGAAGGCCTGTCTAAGAGGTGGAAAGATTCACAGATGGCCTCCCCTACTTTGTACCTGGGGCTATTTGCCCAGCGCCCACAGAGCCTGGCAAAGGGGGAGGGGAAAGGGAGGGGAGGGGAGGGGGAGGGGAGGGAAGGGTTCTGTACGACAGGGGTGTAGGAATGGAAGAAGTGGCCCAGGTAAAGGCAAATAAAGAGGACTAGGCTACAGCCACCTCCATTTATTTGGTGCCCACAATGCGAGTAGCTAAGCTTTCCCCCTGTAGGCGGGATATTGACGAAAGCTCACCACCCAAGAGCAGATGCTCAAAGAAGCTGACACTGGAAGCTTCCTATGACCAGCTATGGTGAGGTTTGGCCAACCAGACCATGTTTGCACTCAGAGCTGCCAGTCTTGAAGGCAGGCACCTCCAAGGCACCTGCAGAAAGCCTTTAATACAGAATTGAAATACCGAAATAAACTGAAACAAGCAACTTCAAAAACAGTGACCACTCAAGAAGAAAAGTTCAAAAAAATACTAAATGTACACTCAGAATGAAGTGCATTTATTGCAGCCCTACAACTGCAGTGGAGTATTTTCAAAGGGTATTATTCACTAGTAAAGAAAATGAAAATAACAGTAGAAGAAAAGAACTCAATAAAAGGGATCGTATGAGAGATAAACATGAGGAAATATCCCAGAAAGTAGAGCAAAATACCAAATCAAAGCAAAACAGGGAGCCTGGTACGGTGGCTCACACCTGTAATCCTATCTGCTTGGAAGGCTGAGATTGGTTTGAGGTCAGCCCAGGTGGTCGAGACCCCTATTCTCAACAAACAAGCTGGCCACAGTAGTGCACATTTATCCCCCTAGCTATGCAGGGGGCAGGAACCACAGTTCCAGGCCAGTCCAGGCAAAACCCCATCTCACAGAAAAATGCTGGGCGTGGTGGCAAACACCTGTCCTCCCAGCTATGGCAGAATCATAAAATAAGAGGATTATGGTAGAAGCTGGTCTGGGTATAAGGCAAGACTCTCTCTCAAAAATAACCAGAACAAAATGGCTAGAGGCTTGGCTCAAGCAGTAGACCATCTGCCTAACAAGTGTGTAGCCCTGAGTTCAAACCCTAGTACCACCAAAAAAAAAAAAAAAAAAAAAAAAAGACAAAAAGATAAGGGAAGCCAGGTGCTGGTGGCTCATACCTGTAATCTTAGCTACTCAGGAGACAGAGATCAGGAGGATCACAGTTCAAAGACAGCCTGGGCAAACAGTTCATGAAACCCTATCTTGAAAACACGAAACAGGTCTGGTGGAGTGACTCAAGTGGTAGAGTGCCTGCGTAGCAAGTGTGAAGCCCTGAGCTCAAATCCCAGTGCTGAAAAAAAAAATCAAGAAAACTGCCCCAAACTGAAGAGTTCAAGGGTTTTCCAGACTGAAAGGACATGAAGTATCCAGGGAACTGGATGTACACTGACCCACATCCAGAAACACCATTATGATATTCAGAAGCCTGGGAATAAAGACAAGATCCTACAAGAGAAAGGAAAAAAGTTCCAGACACTAAGGACATTTTCAGACATGCACAGTCTCAAAAAAACCTCACCTCCTACACACCATATTCTCTGAAGTTACCAGACTATGTAAAGCCTGCTTCAAAAAGAGGCAGAAGAGAAGCAAAGGCAACCTGCAGAATGGTAGCCCTGTGCCCCCACCCAGCAGAGACTAGCCTCTCCCCAAGGGGCAAGGGAGGGAGCCCAAGGAAGAAAACCTGATGTATCTGAGCACGTCTCGTTGGGTTTTGGTGGTACTGGGTTGAGCACAGGGCCTGTACCTGGTGCCCTACCACTTGAGCCATGCCCTCAAGCCCTTTGCTTTACTTGTTTTTCAAATAGGAGTTTGCATTTATGCCCAGGCTGCCTAGACCACAGTCCTCCTATATACACACTTCTTGCATAGCTCAGATGACAGGCATGTGCCACCACACCCAGCTTTAACTGGTTGAAATGGGGGCCTCATGAACTTTTTGTCTGGGCCAGCCTCGAACGTCGATTCTCCCAATCTCTACCTCCCAAGCAGCCAGGATTACAGATGTGAGCTACTGTCCTCAGCCTGTGTCTGAACATCTTGAAAAGAGATTTAAACAACTTTAAAGAGCCTAGTGTTGACAAATACAAAGAAAATGGTGAAAACAAACGATAACACTGTTATCAAGTAAAAAAACTAGTATGGACAGAAATAATGATGTAATCCTAGTTTCACTACAAGGCTCAGCTCTTGTATGCTGGATACATGCCCCAGATGCTGGGATGATGGGATGGGGTGGAGGGGTGGGAGCGGGAGGAGAGCTAAATCCTACCTTCCGCAGCGGGAAGACCGACACTAAACAAGCAAGCACTTTCACCAAATGACATGGAGGTTAGTAGTAAACAATCAGCCAAGAGGTAAAGGTGGTCCCTCTGCTGCAAGAGAAAAGGTGAGGTGGACAGAGTCAGAGGACTGCTTTTTGGGGAAGGGTATAATAATACCAACAATTATTTGAACATTTAAATTCAAACAAAACTACTCAATTAATTAAAAGGTAATTCTAACAGAAAAAGAAGACCATTTTTGATCCTGAGATGCCACTTACGTGATAAGACGCAGCTCAGAGGAAGAGGCAATTTAGCAGGGGCCATCCTGTGAGGCACTCCTGCTAAGGATGAGGCACTGCACAACAGGCTCTCTCCCCAGTTCTGTGCTGCATTCTGATGTGCTTTTTGCCGCGGGTCTGGCTCCTGCTACCATGTAATGTGTGGGCCAGATGACACTTGTAGAAACAGCAGGA